AGGAAAACCAAGAAACCAATAAGTGAGAACAATTTTTCGCGTTTTATACCTTGAACACTAACAATTTATGTCCCCGTCATTGGAAATCATTTTAATAGTGTAGCATTTCAACGTTGTAGGTGTTGGAGTGAATACCGTAATGGGTAAAAATTATTTCAGCCTGACCATCGCCCGAGCGCACAGTTCCCCCCGAATAAAACCCCCGATTAGTCAAAAGTGAGCACGCATTCACTCCACAACGCTGTGAAAAGCTCGAAAAAAGCGCAGCTTTTTTCTTTAATATATAAATATTCATCAGCTGCGACGCGAATACGATCATTACGGTAATTAGTTAATGATCGCCGATAAAAAGTGTCGGCGGTGATTGTGACAGACACGCCAGTAGTTGTGTTATGGTGATGCTTGGGCGCCGGCGTGCCGTGAGAACTTATTGTTGTTGGTTGGCAATGTGAGCGAATACGATGTTGCTACCGTGTTACTACCATACGCATGCCTTTAATTGTTATAGTTGCACGATCGTTTTTCAACACTTTGTATAAACTTATTAGCTGACCGATATTGTTCAAGACAAGACCGGTAATGAACGTGTCTGCGCCAGGAACGGACTTATGACTAAGCGGCTTGTGGAATATTTTATTGTCAAGGAGCGAGGAGTTTGCGGTTGGAATTTAATCATTCAGAGACGCAAGAAAGGAAAAATTGCAAAATTTACAATAGTGATGCATTTGTTTTTATTCATATTGAGAATATGGTTTTTGAATTATCAATCAAGTGTTGTCGTCTTAAAGATCGTGTAACTTTTTAGTTTATTATATATACCTTTTAGGATGTTTTTAGACAAAAATAGGCCATGTAAATCTAGTAATTTGGTTGACAACTACTTAATTTCGTATATGCAATGTTCCTTAATGAAAAATTAAATTTATCATGTGAGGTTAAGGGAAGAAGAACAAAATTTTTGCGTGAATATCAACATCACAAAAAAACAAAATTATATAAACCCTTTTACCCTTTTCTTTCGGATAAAACATAGATATTTAGTAAAGGTAGTATATGTAAAAAAACATGACAAGACGATTCAACACAAACTGCAAATAAAAAAAACGGGAGAAGGATGTAGATTGTAGTTCACGCTAAAGGCAAAAACAAAATCTGGCGATTGTCATAATATGAATCAGGAAAATTTTGAAAAGTGGTTTAAAGAGCAATCTTCGGAAGCCGTCTGTTTTTATAATAAATAATGTAACTACTTTTGAATTTCTATTAAAATCCGGTTTTGAGTCAGAACCCAAAAAGTATGTATGCAGGGGCTCCGCAAAGCTCTATATTGGGTTCTCTTTAGTTTGTTTGTCAATGATTTAGCAGAATATCATTCTAACAATTCGCCATATCAGTAAGTTGATGATGCTTGTTTCATAATCACTGACAAAAATGGGTCTAAAATAACAACAGCAGGAAATAATTTCATTAAAAGCATGGCAGCAAGACTAAACAACGTTTGTAATAATTTTTTTGGAGATGATACAGTCGATATGTATACAGCAATCACGTTATCTCGAATGTCTTTTCAGTACTTATTTCAAAAATTTTGGTAAAGTCATCAAAACCGTTCTAGATTAACTCTAATTTGGTAATCTAAAAGCGATTATCGTTATTATGATTTGTCCTGAGTTTGTCAATATGGACCACAACTAAGTAAGCTTTGTTTATTTTGAAAAATGGTGTTTGTAGACTTCAATATTTGTGAAGCCTATAATGCTGCCCATGTACAGTAAGTAAAAAAACGATAACTAATAATATATATTTAAGGAAATCCTAATAATAGATAAGTAACAAAGTGAAGTACTCAAACAAAAAATTATACTACTTTGTAGTTAGAAAATGGGAATTACTACCAGAAGCGCTATCAGAACAGGTTTTATAAATTACACTTAGGTTACACTGTTTACACCAGCTTCATATAACGAGGGTAATTATTAGGTAAAAGCGAAAAGCAAAACAAAAGTAGGAACGTTTAACTTATTTAGGATCAGTTTATTAACAGTCAATAGTGTTTTATGACTTATTACGTAACATGAAATTTTTGTAAACTGGGCCTTAAATTTTAAATGGTGCCGAAATCTCGTTAACTCGAAACGGTATGTGGTACCCGTTGAATACAAACATTCTCGTTTTTATTGTTTTTTCCTTTCAATTTTGAAATTTAGCAACGTTTTCAGCGAAATTTATTCGGTAAATAACCACTTTCCGTAATTACACGTCTGCACAGCAATACCATAGACGATCTCCAACACTTTGCGCCATGTAACCGCTAATCTCCCCATGCACGTTTCCACAGACCAAACATCGCATCCAATTAGCAATTATCTCAGCCCATCTTCTCGCATTGCGTAATTGGCTCTCTTAGTAACAAGATATCATATACCTCAGGCCGATTTTAATTGTTAACCAATCATTTCCGTCATTGTTGCGCAACAGCGGCCGGTGGTAATGCAATTTCAGGGTGGAATTCACGTCAATGTCTCGGATTTTTACCAGCGTGGGTACAGAGATCTGATATAATAACTTTTAATTAGTACCGCTCCGTCACGGATGTTGTGCGATCACAAAAGGACACACCATCGGTGCCTTATTAACGGCCGTTACACGTTACTAATACCGAAGTTGCAGGCAATAAGTCACCCGCTTGTCATGAGCACATTGTATAGAAGCGTGATCTCGCGAGATGATAACGGTAATATGATATTTTGTTTTGTTTTGTCTTCACCATTATGGCGCGAGAAATGGCCCTGGGTTGCCGTAGGGGACTGAACGTGATGGCAAGGAGGAGGCGTTTGGCACTCGTTTTCCAAGCAAAGGCGGAAAATCCGCGGAAAGCTGGTCTAATTCGGCGGAGTGAGTGGAGAATGGAAATGTGACAGATCCGGGAGTGTTGCATGATCGATGACTGCACACAACGTGAATTAATATCAAATGAAATAAGATCTTGAACACATTCGTGGAAAAGGAACGAAAAACGAAAATATAGGGGTGGTACCTAGTTTTCAAAAATAGATGTTAAGTTAAGAGTTTTTTTCTCTCCAAAGAAAGTTTCAAGAATTTTGAAAAAATTATATTGGTTGTGAAAGAGACGTCTAGTGGCCTTGTCAATTTCTAAAAAAAAAACGAGGACTCAGATTCACAGCGAGTCCAAGGTGCACTAATTTATGGGTGTGCCACCTACTTTTGAAGGAGATGGATATGCACAGCAAAACAAAAAGTCAGTAAGGACATTGTTAATTGTGGGTGCATTTTATTACACTGTTAGTTAATTTTTACTTCACGAGCGTCAGCACATTTGGTACCACTTTTTGTAAAGCAAAAAACTATGATACGTGGTTTTTATCATCATGGTGACTGTTATCATTTTCTGGTCGTCAGTTTAGGCGATTCCACACTTTTGCCACGCACCGTATATGTCTGTAATGGATTATTGTAACACTATGACGGAACGGATTCTTGTATATGTGAAACTTACATTGAATTTTGAGTCATCTTTCGCTAAAACTGTATAATTGAGTGGAATTTCCATGCGCAAACTGAGAAATTTATCGACATATCCACTCGAGAAACAAGGAATTTTTAACTTATACATATGTATGTACTACAAACAACTATATTTGGCCAACTTCTTTGAATATTGTAATGTGATCTATGCTAATTTCCCGTTTAAAAGAAAAATTATGTCTAGTCTATCTCCCGATCAATGAATTATTAAGAATACCCACCAAACCAGTCAGTTGCTTAGTCGACAACATTAATATTTCCAATGTAGTTTCAGATTTAGCTACACAATGATGAATATCTCTTTCCAAATTATTTGAATAAGAAATTAATGTTTGTCTTAATTTTGAAGGTTTGAATAATTAGTCGAGTCTAGAACGCACATACTCATATTTCTTCGATACGCACTTAATGTGTGAATTTAATTTTTGTGCAGTGGCCAGACTGGTCAGAGGTCAGTTCGACTTAGTTGGAGTGTTAGGCAACTGGACTCTTTTTTAATGAATATGGGGGCATTGGCATTAATTAATGATGAAACGATTGTATAACTAATTTGGTTAAGTAAATAAATTGTAGGTTTCAGCAATGAATCGCTTTTTCATGCAAATTTTCATAGAGGATGAGTTATTAACAAGTAGAAACTTCTGACAGCTTAAAATATACAGAATGTGGGAAACAAGTAGATAGCGTAGGTCAAAAGAAATTCGTTCTAATTTGGCGATCACTTTTGGGTTGTCATGCAGGTACATTTCCATCTCAAAACTCGTCAAATTCGAATTAATTATTTAGTTTTATCAGGTCGTAAAATTTTATTAGACCATTAACAAAAATTAAAAATGTCACACTTACACCGTTTAAATTGTTCGTTCTTCCATTAATCATATCACTGTCAAAATAAATCATAGCCGAGAGGTGGAATCTTCAAGCTCTTCGTTCGTAGAAATTTGTCTAGAGTAATTCGTAGTTCGATAATTTCGAGCACGACTTTTTTTAATATCGGTCTTAAAATCTGCGTCCAGTTGCGTTATAAATTTATATGATCATTACAAAAGCCTTACATAACGAGTCTTCCAGCAAATGAGTTTGTACATCTCTGGCTATATTTTACACCTTTCCGTGCTTCAGGTTTTTGGGAAAGTTCCATATATCAAGATGTAATTCACAGTTTTAAAATTCCAGCGCCATGTGCACGATGCTTTTCGACAGGATGCATTTCACAACCTCTCCAAGTGGCAAGTGAAGCGAGAAATATTAATGTATTAATTTGGTTTTTGACGAAAGCGACCTCAAAATACTACAACGGGAATTTTCTTTCCCCGATGCACTAAATACGTCCAATAAAAGTAATTTATTTGGTTGTGATAATGAGCGCGTATTTTGTCAATCCGAGGCGTGTCCGTGTTTTGGTATTTTTATTGCCGCTAATAAAAATTTAGTAAGATTAATTAAGCACATACCTGTGTCTGGAGCAGAAGCATACTTGACTGGGGACTACTTGGGGCGGAAGGCTGCGCGCTCGCCGCCACCAGGGGGGCACTTGACACTTCGCCCTGTACTAAGACTGTACCTGAAAGAGAACACACCATAAGTACGGAAGAGAGTTATAAAAAAAAGCAGAACAACCGTGACCTAAGCAGCTCTAACACCTCTACCTAAAACAATATTTCACAGCCTTTTACAGAAATAGAAAGCGACAGAAAAACGTTACATAACAGCCGAAGACTTTTTAATAGGATTCATATTTCACCACTGGCGATGTTTTCGAAGTAGCGCAGCCTACGTCGAGATATCCCGATAATTTATTAATTATAACAGCTTTCAGCGGACCCCGACAAAAGAGCTTTTAGCGCTAATTATGGCAAAACGTGATACAAATTCTTAAGTGATGATGATGGAGTGGTAACGAGCGTTCAAAATGGACTAAACTTGTATGCAATTATGCAGGAAAAAATACACACCATTAGCATTAGTAGCGAGCATTATTATACCTCCATTCCGCAGGAAAAAATCACATCCATTCTCAGAAAAAGTGAAATGTTCACTAGACTGGCACTGACAAGAGTGGCGCTCGACAGGGTTGCAACACCTTATATAACACAGGGGCGGAGCGGTATCACAGTCATTTCCACAGCCCACCGTGATGATCCGGCAGCCTCTAGGGACCGGAATCGCTGATATTTGCAGCCCTCTTGTAATCAGGCCAGACTTGGGCGTTATGGCCCGTGACGAGCGCTTTGTATGGAGCTGTATTATGTGGGGCTTTATGCCATATTTAAAAAAACATATTGCCTGCGATTTTATTACATCCGAGTTTTATGATTGCATCCTGATTGCTGGACGGGGAAATCTATGCGACGACGAGTTGATTAATTTTACTATGGTTTTAGTGTTTTTCCTTTCATCGTGGCTCATAAATTGTTGATTAATTGCGTGTCAAGGTTTGCAGATTTTTTCAAATTTGGAAGTAAAAGCGACGATTCGTGGAAGTGGTAAAAGTCTGACGCTATTCCGTAACCAGAGACATCGTTTCAGGTCGCACCGAACACGAAATGCGTTAAATTGAATACAATAATTGCTAAAAAGTACAAAAATCCTTGTAATCGTACAAACCACGGATTGGACAATAAGTCAAAAAATGATATCTAGTATTCATATGTAATAATAATAATACAACAAATATCTAACAGCGCACCACTGACTACATCTACAACATAACGCAACGTTTTGGAAATGGAAGATACTTATTATGTGCACTTTAGCACAACCTACTAGAAAATCATCTAATGATAGCTAAGTGTTTCCATAATTACCACTTATTAAGTATTAATGACCAATTATACCCTTAATAATGTGGTATAATTACTTTGTTGGTGTGCATGGTAGGCCCAAAGTAATTATTTGTTTTATTTGTATTTTTTACAAACAATATTATTAACTCTATATAAACAATAAAATAAACAGACAATTAATTATTATTTATTGTTGTTTGAAAAACCAACGTCTTTGTGTAAATTTTATTTTCTTTCGTATGCGGTTGTATAATATTTGTACATACAGGGTGTTCAAAATGGCTTGCATAGAAACAAACGAAATTGTGTAAGCAAATATGGTTGGAATTATCTACCTATATTATTTACTAATAAAATGTAATTAAATTTTGCAGTCGCGAAAGTCTACACTAGCTTTTATTTATGTATATGGAATTTTGATAATACGAATTTAAAATTCACAAATGTCAAATAAATCAAACATATCTCTTAACAAAAAATTAGTTGCACTTGTAGTAAAAAAACAATAAAATATTAGTATGGTAATTATACTCTATACAATAATAATGACGATGATGCATAAATTTCTCAATAGATCAGTTGACCGATTTAAGAAATTACCTGATTCCCTGAACGTGAATCAAATCGATGCAACACATTTTTATAAATCTATTAGTCATAATGCTAAAAGCTTTCTAGTCGACTTTGGGTGTATTTATTCAGTAGGAGTTACGAGACAAAATTTTATATGCAAAGAAACTGTTAAAACAAACACCTATAACATTTCTTAAAGTCATTGCCATCGTTGTGGTTTTTCAGACATACAACTTACGCGTTCTTAATAAAAATGAATTTACTCTTCCAATTCTCCTTCAATAACTAGTCAGTTCCGTTTAATAAATGTCAGGTCATAATCTGTTAATCACAGTTATTCACTCTTGTTTGTTTATTGTCCGCAAATAGCCACTTTGTGGCAAGTATGTGTAAGTGTTCCATTACCGACAATCCAGCCAACGCAACACGCAACAGAAAATGTGAAATTACAGAATCGTTCGCCACCCATCAGAACAGGGAAGTAAAGCACCACCTCGGGCGAACTCCTCAGAAGTACGGCGTTGTAAATGCAAAACCTGATGGGTGTGGGTAAATTACCATGCTTCGTGATCAACCCGCTGAAAAAATCGCCGACTCTTTGTATCTCGTAATTAAAACGAAAATAAAAGCATCAAGTGGAACACAAAAGGAAATTCTATTAGCGTCGGGCGAATTTATTGTCTACTACACAAACAGCACAAATCATAAGCCATTGGTAAATCTAATTACATGCGAGACTCCCCGTCATATATCTCGGCGTGCTCTACAAAGTCATAAACAATGCAACCGCTAATTGCGCTACAGAGCTTTTGCGGCCTGATTGATCGTTTGAGTCGCCAGGTTTCGCGTCTGATCCACCACTGGAGTCTCCGCTGGAAACTGATTTCTGGTGATGTTTCTCGGCTAATGGTTTGATTAGGCCGTTTGTGCGGCGATTTTGCCGCGGTACGGACGAAATTCGTTATTTATGAGGCGCTGACTGAACTGAAAATCGCCTCAGGAGAAAATACTTACGTAAGTGAATTTAATTTTGCCTGAATCCAGTATAACCAAAGATTTTACTGCCTTTTTCACGTCGTTGTTTTAAACACAAAGTTCGCTACTAATTAAAAGTTATTTCAAATTGTTTACTATAAGCAAATAAATGTTTCATGAAACAGTGGATGAAAAATTCGGAGCCTTAATTAAATTTATAAACTGTGTCTTAAAGACAAAATTTGGATAAAGATTTGCATTTCATTGTGTCGGTATGTTGGCACTGAAACGTGATAAAAGTCATAAATGTCGACAGTTATGTGCCGCAGGATACATGTTCTACAAAAATTAATCATTTTCACAAAAAAGTGTTTTATAGACTCCGCTTTCCCTTTTTTTTATTTCATCAGTTAGATGTCATCAACATAATCGCAGTGTTGAGTGATTTAAGGGCAATGTCAATCTGCACCGATTTGTGTGGTCTGTGTAGCAATAAAGGCATTATTCGTTTTATTTTAAACTTATTGATGTAAGTGGTATGAATGTGATACAAATTTGGAAAGGTATATTATTTTTAATTGTCAAAGGACAAGTCTGACAAATTTGCGTCCTTATCACACATTCTTTTAAATAATAAACACTCAGTTTTTTTTTATTTCCAGGAAAAGAACTTGAATCGACGCAGTTGTGACATGCTCAAATTTAAATTACCCAATAACAAAATAATGCTTTTCAGTTTTATTTTTATACGCAGGATCCTGTATTGAAATTTTTAAGTATTGTTCAGAGAAGTTTTTTTTTTGAAATTGTAATTTTCACTCGAATTTTTACTTCCTGGGCGTAAATTAAGGAAGTATTGTAATTGAGTATATCGGACGACTGGCTATTTCCATGTTTTGTCGACGTTTCGTGACCTCTAGTGTAAAAAAATTTGGTCTCCTGTTGCCCTCTGTCTGTCTGTCCGTCTGCCGTCGCCCCAAAATTTCATTAGTCAGATAATCTCCAAAACTAGTGGACTGATTGTTGTCAAATTTTATGTGCACTATGAATATGGTATAGAGTGTAAAATTCTAACCAAAATTTAGCTAATCGTCCCTACCAACAATAGAATGGCGTCATCTATAAACTTTACATTAGCAAATTTTATAAAATAAGACATTCCTGCACCTGTGGTTTATGAATCCGTGTTGAATTTTTACCCTAGACATTCAGATGTTTGAGAAAAAGTTCAAACTTGTATAGCAAAATTTTGCAAATTGACTTTGAAATTGCAAAGCCGAATGCTTGAAATCTTGCAAAAAAAAGGTTTTAAGGATATAGGAAGCATGATAAATCGTTAATTAAAATGTATTAGTTTACGACCTTCCGAAAAAATGATGACGTCATCTTATAATTCTACAGCATATATATATTTTTAATTTTATAAAATAACATCCTCCTGCATGTGTGATTTACGAATCGGTGTTGAGTTTTTACAAAGAGGTTTCAAGATATTTGGGAAAAAAGTACACATTACCTATATTACATTTTACCATTTAGAAATTGCACTATGTGAAACCTTACAAATATTTTAAGGGTAATGGAACCATGATAAATCGTTAGGTAATCAAAATTTGTGCGTTTGTGAAACCTTCCCCCCCTCCGACGCATAAAATGATGACGTTTGATAACGTTGCCTTACAATTTGTTCGAATGAATTTTTTTCAAATTTATCAGTGTTTTTGGGTGTGGTTTAACTAATGAGTCCTCTATACTCTGCGTCGAGGAGACAAAATCAATCAAATTTCAATTTTTTAATCGCTGCTGCTTGTAATATGAACGTGCTAGATAATAGTCGAATTCTTGCAAACTATTAACATAAACGGTCGAAGTTAAGCATGTACTGAGAAATTGAAAATATGTACTTTTTCGCATTGGTTACATCGTTCAAATTTATTTCATATTGTCCACACTTGTGTGACCGTGGCCTCTTGGAATTTGGCCCCCGCGGCGCTGGAACTGTGAAGGTGTTATTTAACCACTGGGTTTTACTTTATAGAGTACCTATATCACAAAACAAAAATCGTAAAATCAAATTTTATAATTTTTACAACAAGCGGGAGTTGTTGACCATACTACAACCTTCGAACATTTTTTTTTTGTGTATTTAATATGTAGATATTTATTTCCAGTTACTATATATTTAGAAGATACTAGTTTTGAAAGAATAAAATAAAATAAAAACATTATT